TTGCCAGGGCTATTGTAAGCTATTCAACCAATCATGTCACGCTATACACTGTTTACTACGAGGTTCGGTAGCTTGTATAAATCTCCTGTAGCCTTGCTAGTGAAGTATCATTCTACTTTAGAAAGAAACCTGTAAACATGACTGGAAGAGGCAAAGGAGGAAAAGGTCTAGGAAAAGGAGGCGCCAAGCGTCATCGTAAGATCCTTCGGGATAATATCCAGGGTATTACTAAGCCCGCCATCCGTCGTCTTGCTCGTCGTGGTGGAGTCAAGCGAATCTCTGGGCTGATCTACGAAGAGACCCGAGGTGTCCTTAAAGTTTTCCTTGAGAACGTGATCCGTGATGCCGTCACCTACACCGAGCACGCCAAGAGAAAGACCGTCACTGCCATGGATGTCGTCTACGCTCTGAAACGCCAAGGACGTACTCTGTACGGTTTTGGTGGTTAGATGACTTGATCATCGAATAAACAACGGCTCTTTTAAGAGCCACCACATGATATAAATCAATGACATAATGCAGAAATCTAGAATTCAATGATGCCACACATCTTTGAGTTCTCGCAATTCAGTAGATTAACGAAATGAAATAGAAACTCCTTGAATATGTATATACGATTATTTCGGTGTGTCGTAAGAATTTAGTTCGGTTGTTTTGCGCAGGAGTGAGCAAGCCCGCGCGGTTACCTTTCAATGTACCGTGAGAATGCACGATGCGCGCCAAAATATCACTTCGTGAAGGCTTCTATCTAATTTAGCACTGACTAAAGTTTAATTTTGTAAGAAAGGATTTATAAATAAAACTTATTCTGCACACTTAGCATTACAAAAAAGTCAAAGATCTACACTACCGTGCAGACTGAGTATAAATGGTGGCGCTACTAGCGGTAAACTATAGTGTGAGCTGCGTCGGTGTTTCCAAAGAAACAGTTGTGTAGAGAATTAAATTTAACACAGTAAAAAAGTAGGTGAGCTTTCCAGTCTATTTGCGTCTTCATTTAAAACCAGAAAGCGATATCAGGAGCAAAATCTAGTATTTACCGGCTTCATTTGTAGTACGCTAAGGAAGAGAAAGGAAAGGAAGAGAGAAATACTAGCAGCGCAGCTTATGTATCATTACATCAATCAAAGCATTTCGTCATATGATCTTTCGGTTCATGTGGTGGCTCCTAAAAGAGCCGTTGTTTTGTTTAGCAGCAAGTAAACTGCTTAAGATGATTTCTTCTCAGCTTTTTTAGGTAAAAGGACGGCTTGGATGTTRGGAAGAACACCACCTTGAGCAATGGTGACACCACCAAGAAGTATGTTCAACTCCTCGTCATTTCTAACAGCCAACTGCAAGTGACGGGGGATGATTCTGGTCTTCTTGTTGTCACGGGCAGCGTTGCCGGCCAACTCGAGAATTTCGGCGCTCAAATACTCGAGAACAGCAGCTAAGTAGACTGGAGCACCAGCACCAACTCKYKSAGCRTAGTTGCCTTTGCGGAGATGACGATGGATACGACCGACTGGGAACTGAAGCCCTGCACGGGATGATCGRGTCTTRGACTTGGTGCCCTTAGCTTTACCTTTTCCACGGCCAGACATTTTGACTTGTAGTTGTCTTTTGAATAATAGTTCAAAATATGATGACAGGAAACTTTGCTCAAAGATTTTATACCAAAAGCTTGCATTGAATAGGATCGAAATCCACCAATCAAAAACCAGGYATGATGAGCAAAGGTCATTAGTTTGAATGAAGATGATTTGCATGTTATTTCCACCAATCATGTTTGCGTATTGGTGATCCGCATAATAATTAATCCTATCAGAATTACATATAAATACGAGTTTTCCCTGAGAGTCACTATCATTTGATTGTGATAATCTACAAAGAAGCTATTAACAAGAAAATGCCGCCAAAACCCGCTGGAGGAAAGAAAGGTGAAAAGAAAGCCGGCAAGAAGGCCGCGCTTGGAGACAAGAAGAAGAGGTCACGAAGAAGAAAGGAAACCTACTCCATCTACATCTACAAAGTCATGAAACAAGTCCATCCCGACACCGGTATCTCAAGCAAAGCCATGTCCATCATGAACTCGTTTGTTCAGGATGTCTTCGAGCGCATCGCTGGYGAAGCTTCCCGCCTCGCTCACTACAACAAGAAGTCAACCATCACATCTCGCGAGATCCAGACYGCTGTCCGTCTTCTTCTTCCCGGTGAATTGGCCAAGCACGCCGTCAGTGAAGGCACCAAGGCCGTCACCAAGTACACCAGCAGCAAGTAAACAGTTTACTGTTTGCTAACAAAACAACGGCTCTTTTAGGAGCCACCCACATGAATCAAAAGATCATGGCCAAATGCTTTGCCGAATACTGCTTTTATAAGCCTCGCTTATTTATTTYTAGAAGGATTAAGAACAGTTTACAGTAAATAAATCTTTTTCTGCAAATATGTATGAAAGAAGTCAGTACGTTGTGATTAGCATTTGGCGCCAAAACTTTGGCTTCACTAATTTAAATTTAAAAGAAAGGTTTATATAACTTTGATTAAATGTTTTATAAACAAGCACTTTATGAAAGCCCAAATTTAACAAAAAAATCATGCTATGATAGGAGCTATAAATCGTCAAATTTTTTTTTGAAAAATCATGGCATCTTTGATATTTGGAGATATGTTTTGAGCAGAGTTAGTAGAGGGGACTGTCCCCTGTACTAACTCTGCTTTGAGGAATCAGAGTTAGTTAACTCTGGAGGAATAATTAGATTTAATAAACTGCGAATGTGCAATAGTTATCAGGATTTTTCAGCACCTCATAAGAATATAAATTCGTTTTTCCAGGACGTGTTTTGGACGCCTCAGGTAGACTGCAAACCGTTCCTTCATCAGGATACTGATTATGGCACTATGCACTCCTAAAATACATGTAGGTACCTCATCAGATGAGATGCCATTCCTTTGCATGTATTCAAGATCATCAACTTCTTGCAACTTGGCCTCCTTCACAGAATTCCATCACGAGAACACGTTCAGTTGAAAGCTTCCATAATACTTGAGGAACCTTGTTAAAATGCAATAATTTTTAATGGTTTTGCAGGGCTCAAAATAATTGTTGTTTGACCTGCCCTTATTTTGAGCCCTGGATTTGATAGAACAGGATTTAATGAACTAAATAACATTTGAAAAACAACAATTTTCAAGTGAGATAGATATATTATAAAACATACTGTATAAGTTTACTATTTCAGGAAAATATAACACACTCTTATTTGTAGAAATTCAGCTAAGAGTATGTTATATTTTCCTGAAATAGTTTAGAGCAAATTGTGGATAATTACATATATTCCACAATGAAAAAGCACCTTCTGAATTAGTTCATATTACACCAACGAYATCTTATTATAGAACACTGATGAATAAGGCATTGAGACTCGTGACGAATGCTATATCTRTTATTATCATCATTATAATATTAAATAAAAGAAAAAGTCAAATTTAGTTATGGTAATGACAGTAATAAGACACAAAACTGTGACGATATAGTCACATGTAATTTATTCTGAATTTATAATAGTAAATCTTATCATCATTCGTTCACCCACATTTCAGCTATACACAAGCTCAATATAATACTCCAGTTTYGAATTCTCCAATGCTCTGTGTTAGCCTCATTTGTGCACAAAATATTCCTAATTGTGAGCGTAAAAGTGTGAGATTTCAAATCAAATTTATTGTCTTTCTTCACAAATTCCATGCGTTTTCTCGAGCTATCAATGAAGCAAAAGAATATGTTACTTGGTTTTGAGGCTAACACAGAGCAAACCAGAACTCGAAATTGGAGTATTGACAAAAAGGCTATATTCAGTTCCAAAGGATATGTCAAGCATTAGTTTCAAGTTTTGTAAGGACTTGTTCAAGTAACTCTTCATTTACTCTGTGTTTCATTAGGAAAGAGCCATTCAAATGAAAGACAGGTATTTCATAACRATATTTCTTGAACCATTCTTCATTGCTTTTTTCAGTTATATAAACCTCTTCGAAAATATACTGAAAAACATACAAAAAAGAATAAAAGTCAGGAAGGATTAGTATTKAATTAGGAAATGCTGCTTCTGCCTACAATTGTTGACAAAATCCTTGGAACATTCAAGCAAACTTCCTCATTTTAATCAACRATTTCATCCCCCTGACCCCCTAAATGCAAAACAAGACTCAATATTAAGGGGGCTAAGGGGAGAACTGTGAAAAAAAGGTTACACCAGAGATAAATAATTCTATGGTCCAAGTTTTTTTGGGCAGAAACCAAATCATTATTATAAGGTTGGGATCCCTGGTGGTATCCCTTCAGTCATGTGTAGGGAGARGCAAAGAAATGGCCTCTTTACCAGCAATAAATCTTTTCTCTCTTAAAACTAAATATTTGCAAGCACAACACAATATGACAAAAYAAAAAGTGATAGAGCTAGTGGGAACCCAAAATTATTAATAACAATAAATAACATCTAATTTTAATAACATTAAAATTATTAATTAAAGAATGCCTACTTTGTTAACCTCCTGAATGACGCAATTCCCTACCCAATAAAAGGATCAAAAAGGTGGTTGAGAGGCCTATTTGTAGCCTCCCCTGCAAACAAAAGTATGTCAGTCTACTATTGGGGTTCCTTTGGCCTTCCTGAGACTGAAGAGACTGGGAACAAACAAAATGTTTTTCCCCCACCCTCTCTATTTATCCCCAGTGCCCCTCTCCAACAACTTATTTTGGTCTACTATTAGGGTTTCCTTGGCCTCCCTGAGACTGAAGAGACTGGGAACAAACACAATACCCTCCAGTCTTCCTCTCTATTTATCCCCAGTGCCCCTCTTTACTTTTAATCATAAGGAACCCCAATAAGCAGGATAAAAGGATAAAGTAAAGTACAGGAAGTCCATATTGTAATGGGAAAAAGAAAGCCTACCCTATCTTTAAATCTTTCAAGAACAAGCCTTGCATCATCACAAAGGGAACAATCTTCCTAGAAAAATACAAAGTACGTTGTAATGCCAATTAGAAGATTCAGTAAATACAGCTTTTCAGTTGTTCTTAGGCCTCGGGAGGGTGTTGAATATTCTTTTGAATTTGAAGGAATGTGAGCAATGCAAACACTGATATAAACAGTCTCATTTGTCCAATTCAAAAGTCTGAATAATTAACTTGCTATCGAGGTCTAAGTGCAACTGAAAAGAAGGTGTATTGTAGCTTTTTAATTATTATACTATGCATCAAATATTGAAACAAAATTATTATTTTGTTCTCTTACTGAGCTGTTGAACTCACTGGTATTTTGTGCTTTTACAGCGTTTCGTAACCATTATGGCCGTTTTCTTCAGGTGTAATGCACTGTTTGTATCTTCGAAATAAGTGGTCTCTGAAGAAGACAGCCATAATGGCATCAAAACATTGTAAAAACACAAATACCAGTGAGTTCAACAGCTCAATAATAAGAAAACAAAATAATAGTGATGCAGGGAYGTCAACTCTCCCGGATTTGCCAGGAGACTCCTGGTTTCAGATTGAATCTCCCGGTTTCAAGATTTTAGCCCTAAATCTCCCGGACACACACAATATTTTTATCGTATTATATTATTTACAATATTATTTATTAAAGAAAACCTTCAATGAATTATGTCGCGTTTCCTCGATCTTTCGATACGGAACAAAATACCTACCTGGAGTTGGTTACACGTATGATCACGCATGAAAAATATATTAAAATTGATTATGCAATGTCTAATCCATTGGTTGGAACAGAATATGACGTCATTTTGACGTCATTCACATGTTGTGACGTCATACACATAATCAAAGCAATTTCTCCAGATGCTATATAGTTCAGGGCTTCCATTGACATCCCTGGTGACAGTCCAAAACTGGGCTAGGGTAGTTTTTGTCTGGGATAGGGTATAGTCTCATTGTCTGGACACACTATACTAGACGTAAAAGCTGAAAAACCATATCCTATAGCGCAGAACATACATGTACCAGTATAGCAAATATAGGGGAGTACCTGCCTCCCAGGGGACTTGATGAGTTTACAAAATTTTCTCAATTTTTTTTTAACATTTCTCGAGCATATTTAACATGAAGAAACATCAATGCAATCCCAAATTAGTCCTCGATCTTCAATAAATCTTAAAGATTATAATAATCTTTTCTCTTGGTAAACATGGTTTAAACTGCCAATGACGCAGTCCACTTTCTACCAGCCTACATTACCTCCGATAAATTATGGTATTATACCTGGCCATACCTTTGTATACATTGTCAATGTCGGCAGGTTTTTGATGCAGTAATATCTTGAATTCAAGTAAAACGTTTGTGTTCGTATTTTCCCTCGTAAACAGCCAGCAAGAGGCTGTAAGCAGTAGAGAGAACCAATTATCCTCATTTTGGCGGGTTTTGCATTTTAAAATATCCCAGGCGTTCCGATCCTTTACCGGGAGGCCTGGTGATCGATAATTTATTCACCGACCGAGTCTCTTCTCGTTCTTTTCTGCATTMGAAAGATTCGAAAATGTCTTCTCTTGCTCGTCTTTCTCGAAATGTTTTCCAAAGATCGGCACTTGGAGTTCGCTCCACTACCGCTCCTATTGCTGCTTCTCAGGGGCAAAACCGTAAATGTGAGTATTACTAAGAAAATCCTCTCTATTGGGAATTTTTATTTGGTATTTCCACTATTACTGCTCGTTGTCCCGGCATCGCACATGGCACGGAAATGGAAATATTCAAAAGAAAAAAATCTCTTTTCTGCAGATTCGGCGCCAAGTAAGAGGATAGATGTAAAGGGACCAGTAGTTGAATTAGATGGCGATGAAATGACAAGGATTATATGGCAGATGATCAAAGATAAGGTAGAAAATTATTAAAAATTTAGTGAGTACATGAACGTTTTGAACACTTTCATCTCACGGAATAAAGAACCGGCTTTTGAATTTACTTTACTGTATTCTTCAATATTTGCTTCGCATACTTCAAAATTTATCTTTTAAAAGCTAGAATAAGGAGATGAATGAGAGAAAAGGTCGAAAATGCTCGTTCGTGACTTCAGACATCTAAGATGTGTAGCTATACTTCTAACGTCCAGCAGTGTCCACTAAAAACACTCACGTGATTTTCTCCACTCATTTGGAGCTGCGTCCCAGATTTAGATAAGCCGTTTGTTTGTTTGATTAATATGGATCTGTTCCGCCAGATAGGATATGGTTTTTGTCCTTTATGTCTTGAAAAGGGTTACAGTCTTGAATATAGTGGCCTTTCTATGTTTTCCATGTTATATAGGGTTTCAATATTTATCTAGTAGACATCCTTGGGATCTCAGGGGTAATCTTCTGCCGTTCGTTCCTCACTCCCAGAAAAAAATAATATTGGATTCCTGAGGATGTCTTATAATAGACTATAAAGTCAAAGGAAAAAAAAAACAAATGTCAAATCAACGTTTTTTACAGGAGTACTTTTTGGATTATGTCTTGGATAGCATCTACATGTACCAAATACATTTTACCAAATTGTCTAGCAGAACTAATAGTTAAAATCTACCTTTTGCAGTTAATCCTTCCATACCTGAACTTGAACATCAAATACTATGATCTGGGTCTAGAACATCGTGATGCTACTGGCGACAAAGTTACAATTGAATCTGCAGAGGCAATAAGAAAACACAACGTTGGGATCAAATGTGCTACTATCACACCTGACGAAGCAAGAGTAGCAGGTACAATAGTGTATAATTGGTACATGTAGAATGTGCATGACTACCTTGGGGGCAATCAATATTTGACTATACTCTTGGTCCATTTGATGGGACATCTTTTTTTCATTTTGAAAAAGAAGAGTGTCTACAATGTTTAATAACTAATAACTAGCGGCCCCTTTGACCACTCGTCTGACTCACTAATCGGATTAAGTTGACAGGACCTAGGGACACTGATGACAGATTAGTCCTGGCCGAGCGAGTCTTCGTAGGCCCGAAATAGTAAAAATACGCTACCGTCGCGATGTTTTATAACTCGTCGGGTTTCGAATCGAAAGTCATCTAAAAGTTGAGCGAAGCGCTCGTCAATAATTTTTGTTACATATTATGAAACTAAAATGTGAGTTTGTTGAATTCGTGTTTAAAAACGTTGAATTGAGAAATAGAAACAGTACATTTTAAAGCTTGTTAAGCAGCATTATATTCAAAGTGTCAGTCGCATAAACTTGTTTGTTAACGGTGCTTTACGACTAACATTTAGCTTTCATTTCGGTTTCTTCCAAATRGASTTGAACTTAGATTTCGKCCAGACACTTTGTCCATTTAAATGGCRATAGTTTTGACCATCCTCAAGACGAGAGCGTTTTAGTTCAAATCCCGACCTCTGACGAGGTCACATTCGGGCCTACGAAGACTCGCTCGGCCAGGACTAATCTGTCATCAGTGTCCCTAGGTCCTGTCAACTTAATCCGATTAGTGAGTCAGACGAGTGGTCAAAGGGGCCGCTAGTTATTGCCTGCCCCTGTCTCTTTTGGTGTTCGGCCAGGGCAAAGTGATTTTAATCCGGTTAATCTATAACGTTCCTGGTGAGACAGCAGTGGCTGGTACAACAAGGACAGCGGTAATAAATTCAGCAACAACCGCTAGAGTAACGATCATTTGGATGAATTTCGTAAAATCAAGTGCTTTTTAGTGTCTAAGAGGACATTTCAGTGTATATTTCAGATAAGTAAAACTTTACAATTTATTATCGACTATCTTATGTTGGATAAATTAAGCAATTTTTGGATCTTATAAGTCATAATTTCAGTTCTAGCGCCCTTGTTGTAACTACATAATGATTAGAAATAAAAACAATATTGTTCTGGACTCATTTCAGAGTTTGGACTCAAAAAGATGTGGAAGAGCCCAAATGGTACAATTCGTAACATTTTGGGTGGTACTGTATTCCGAGAACCAATTATATGCAGGACTGTGCCGAAGATTGTCCCTGGCTGGACAAAGTCCATCATAATTGGACGTCATGCATTTGGTGATCAGGTTAGTAAGGTTTCCTTTTCTTCATAGAAGGGGATGGAAAAATCCTCTGATCTGCTCACAGGGTAGTAAGGTCAAGGTCAAGTTCATTTAAATTATTGAAGATGAGGCTGATCAAGGATTGTTATAATTTAGATTATCTGGTATTTTACTGGAACTTAAATTGGTCTTCTATTCGTGTATGCATGATCGTCACAAAAGTGACCTTAAACTAGTGCACCAAATTTTAAAAATTTGGTCTGAGAAATAATAAAATTAATTTTAAGCAATAARAAATCTAAAGATTAGCTGAATAGTCTTTGTCAGTGCAGTTCTCTGTGCAATCTTGAAATCTAGCCATATGCCTTTGCAAAGCTAGATGATTGGTGAACTTGCAATGATTAACAGCTGTAAGTATTTGCTCATAAGGTGTGAATGAAGGTCTCGTTGCACAATCACTGGTCATCACACTTCATTGCAAACATTATTTTCAAGATGGCTGTGGGTCAGAACTATGATTTTAAAATTATAGTTAATTGAAATGAGGGCATTATTCTATGAAAGTTGCACTCAAAAAACTGAATGCTCCAAAAAACAAAATCATAGATACCCAAGAATGTATAGTTCTAGGGAGACTTAATGAAGTTTTGAGAAACATCTAGTTTACAAGGACAGCTATCACAACACAGTGCCTGAGATTTCAACTATTCTGTTTTTTTTTAATTTATTATGAACAACAAAATTTTCAGATATGGCTGGCTTTAAAGCATTGATAGTACCCTTCAGTGCGGCATTGACTACCACGTCACATGATTGACTTTTGATCAATTAAAGCGAAGGAAAATTTGTTGTGTTTTTTTTTTTTTTGTCTTGATTAAATTCATTCCTAATGTGATCTGAAATTTCATAGTCCTGTTTCAGAGTTCTAGCTTTCACAATATTTTTAGAGTGGTAAAATTGCAATTTTATTAAATGGTTATTGACTTTTGTAGTACCGAGCAAGAGACTTTGCAGTCAATGGTCCAGGAGTGTTTGAAATTTCTTACACACCTCAAGACGGAAGTGGTAAACTTACTACTGAAGTTTTTGAGTTCACTGGAACTGGTGGTGTCATGATGGGAATGTACAACACAGACGAGGTAGGGTAAATCAAAACAACTCTCATGCGGAAATTCTCATTTGAAAACCTGTATCACCCTGAATGCTTTAAGTCATTTACATTCACTTGAGGTTTTCAAAGATTTATTTCGTCTTACCCTTCTGAGGAGACGTCTAGCTAGCTCATCATAGTGTGTTGAATACAAGTTTATAAGTCAATTCTTTAGCATCATTCTCTAGGATCAAAATGTGTGCAAATATTGTCAGTGTAAAAGGGTCTTTACAACACATTTGTTTTTCGTTTGCAAAGACTAAATTGCTTGTCTCTGATTGGTCAAGGTTTAGCAATACAATTAGCTTTGAAACTGGTTTAGTTACATGTAAGGCGACAGGAATTACTGCTACTACTCTCGCCTTAACCCGACACAGGCACCATACATTTTGAAGCTCTTTGTCCCTCCTGGCGTGACGCCTCCTCCTTCTCCCCTCGACAGAAATTAGTATTGTGAAATTTTAGCATCATAATTATCTAAAAATAAAAATGCTTATACTTCTCCATTACATAAATTTGTAATTTTCACTATTGTTTGAGAACAGAATTTGCTTTCATTGATAATCATATGGTAAACAGAATATTACATGGTCGCTTGGAGATAAGAATTTTATCTTCTCGTGTTGAAAATCTCTTCAGATCTTTTCAACACTTGAAGATAAAATCTGTATCTCTGCGCAACCATGTAATATTGTCTATACATTATATATCTGTCATTTTAGGCTATCCGTGACTTTGCCCACAGCTGCTTCCAGTATGCTATCTCAAAGCAGTTTCCACTGTATATGAGTACAAAAAACACAATCTTGAAGAAGTATGATGGTCGTTTTAAGGATATTTTCCAAGAAATCTATGATAGGTAAGTTTGATATTGAATGGCATCGTGCTATTGCAAATGCACTGAAATGCTCGGGCCATCTATACTATTTTTGTGGTTTAACTATTGGTTCTGATCAATTTGTTTACTGATCTCTGAAAGGGAACAAAAATATGAATGTATTATGTTTTGGTACTATGACGTTGAACATTGTAATCTTACTCTCGAAACATTTTTATTAAAAAAAATACAAAACGGCGCGCGTCTCTGTCCTTTGATATAAACTCGGTGGAAAAACACAAGAGAAGCAAGCTTATTTTCTCTTGCTTCTCGAGTGCTTTCCAACTCCCACCGTGTTTATATCAGAGGACAGAGACACAAGCGGCCGTTTTATATTTCTTTTCTAAACTTTTTCTGCGCTTTTCAAATTTTGATGGTAAGCCATGTCCCTGTCCTCTGATATAAACACGACAAAATTTTATAAAGTAAAATTAATGACTGTAATGTACTTGGTTTGAGATGTATTCTCTATTTCAAGGGAGTACAAGCCTCAATTTGAAGCTGCCAATATCTGGTACGAGCATCGTTTGATTGACGACATGGTTGCCTATGCTCTGAAGTCAGAGGGTGGATTTGTATGGGCCGCCAAGAACTACGACGGCGATGTCCAGTCTGATACTCTTGCACAAGGTACATCAATAACATCAGCACCTTTAACAACACGACACTGTAGGAGCGTATCTAGAATTTGTCGTTTGTGGGTTGGGGTGAGGGCTTACATACAAAATTCCCATGCAACGAAATCTGACTCTGACTCTAACTCGACTCTGAATGTTTAGAACGCCGTCGATTAAAGAAAACGTAGTTTCGTGTTGTGCAGGATTTTGAGTGTGCAAAGTGTTACGATGCCATATGTTGGTTAGTGGGTTAAGGAGCTCACATATTTTTGAAGGTRATTGTGATATTTTGATAATCTTTTTCGCTAGGTTTTGGTTCTCTGGGGTTGATGACAAGTGTTCTTGTCTGCCCTGACGGAAAGACCATTGAATCAGAAGCAGCTCACGGAACAGTGACAAGACACTATCGCGAGCATCAGAAGGTTGGTTAATTGTAAAACCGAATTAGACGGCGCAACTTTTGCCTACAACCTCATGCAAGCGTCATGGCTAAGTCAAAAAGTTGTGGCGTCTAATTCGGCTTTTGGAGAACAGTCAACATTGATTTAAGGCATTAATAGACTGGGAAAAATACTTACAATCTGAACTTAAAAATAGACGTGATAAATTTGAATAAGTGAATCGCATGTATTTAGGTGGCGATATTTAAAAAAAAAAAATCAGTAATAGTGCTAAATAGCCTACTGCCGTTCTCCCTGACAGCTTTGTTTGATAAAGGTGTATATTTTCCATTGGATGATTTTCTCATGATAATCTTGTGAATTAAAGACTGTACACGATATTCTTCCCCAGTACTAAAAAAAGGCTTGTTGTCTGTAGGGTAACACTACCAGCACAAACCCCATAGCCAGTATCTACGCATGGACACAAGGCTTGAGCCATCGAGCTAAACTGGATGATAATCCAGAACTTAAAAGGTTAGAAACGTGTTTGATAGAGTACAAACACTAAAACTGTGCAACATAAATACCAATAAATTATGCTAATTCTATTGTTTTCTATTGTTTAATTAACACTATTTTGTAGTAAATAGTGGAAAGTGTTGCACACATTTAATGTACATAAATACCACTAAATACTGCTAAAATATGCTAATTCTATTGTTTTCTATTGTTTAATTAACACTATTTTGTAGTAAATAGTGGAAAGTGTTGCACACATTTAATGTTTGTACTCTACTCAAACTGTGTTGTTCATTTCTTTCTCTTTTTAATCCTTCCGCCATTTCTCTAAGACGTTTTTTTGTACATTTCCTTGCTGTTATGAAATAGGTTTTGTAAGGCTGTAGAGCAAGCTTGCGTTGACACTGTTGATAGAGGGGAGATGACTAAGGATCTTGCCGCATGCATTCATGGACTACAAAAGTAAGTTTGGCAGTTTTTTTGGCAATCCAGCCATCAAATTCCTGTGATAAATGTAAACTTGGTATTTGTTCTAAACATCCCAGTGGGTATTTTACCATCCAACATGGCGGATTTAGTACCATGTGACCGTTTCATGCAAAAGGCCATTTACGCAATCTGTTTTTAAAACCACACTTTTTGTCATAGAGACAGGAATCCCGAGTAAGAGGCTAAAATAATCACCATTTTCATTTCTAATTTGTTTATTTTTTCACTTCTATAGCGTTAAAAGGGAACAATACCTCTCCACTGAAGACTACTTTGAAGCTGTAGTTAAAAGACTTCATGAAATCCTAGACAATTAAATGGAGATTATGCAAAAACGACGAGAGTGTTACTGCAAATAAAACCAAATAGAAAATATCCTACTAACGTTTTAAAAACGCAGTGGGTCTGATTTTCTGCTAAGTTATATTTGAATATGTGCGCGTGAATATGATTGAAGTAAAATATGTTGCCTTTAATTGAATCATCTGATCTTGTTGTTTAATTTCGCCTTTTAAAAAAATGGTCGAAAACTGATAAGGTGAACAGCAAGAGACAACGAATGAACAATAAGTTAACTTGAACTGCTGATTAATTGAAAAAACTTAGCTTCTTTATTTGGTAAAACAAATATTTTAACGCTATTTGTTTCCGTTTCTTGTCAAAGCAAACCAACAAATCCCAAAAATTCCATGTGATGACCAATATTAAAAAATCACATACGAATGTTATGACAAATATTATTTTCCTTGGTTCCAGAGGTTCACTTTTTCCACTCTCACTATTGTTGTTGTTGTTGTTGTTGTTGTTGTTGTTCATTACCCCAAAGTCACATGTTCGAAATCGAAATACAAGTCACCCTCATCAATCATGATTTCTCCTCACGCCTTCTAGGAAATGTATAGAATCTGAGAAATATAGCCTGAGTTCATCCCGGCGTTTAATTTTGAAAATAAACCGGATGTAACGCAGGCTAGAAAAATATTGATATCACTATTTCTCAACATTCCACAACACCTAGCCCGAAGTCACGCTCTAAGAGCGTCTAGTTCTGGTTTGCCCGTTCACAAGCGCCGAGGGCACCAAATAGAATGTTGTGAAAATCTATTGTACGTTATTTACCATGATACACGAAGTTTTACACAGTCGGTTGTCCTTCAAACAAAGGTAACCCAAGCTCTACTGAAGGCAAAAAATTGAAAAAAAAATTGGAATTATTTGAACTTATAAGTGTCACTTATTAACTAGGGGCCATAACAAGGTAAAATCTAAAAAAAATACACACCAGGAGAGCATAAAACACAAGAAAAATACGTATGTAAGTTCAAATAATTTCATTATTATTATTTTTTTCAATTTTTTGCCTTCAGAGTAGAGCTTGGGCTACCTGTGATTCAAATATATCATTCCCGCGCTGAGCCTAACGTCATAGATACTTCTGTACAGCGGTATTACATTCAAGTAGACTATCCGCGGGAAAGAGTTGTTCAGTAGTCTTTCAGTATACTTAGAAGAATCTTTTTCAATCAAGAATGCTGTAAAAGTCGACTAAAAGAGGAACCTGTGCTTGGTAATACGAATTTAACTTAATTCAGCGTTGAACAATAATTCTGTATCGTGTGTGAAGATGTGTGAACGACGAACACGAACTGACTGCAGGACATGCCGGACATAGTGAAAGGTACGGACGATATTTGTATTCAGTGTGTTTGATACATTTTTGTACTTAACAAACAAACAACTTATCAGTCTCCAGAAGGTTTTAGATATTATTGGAACATCGAACTAGATGCTCATTATGCATCAGTCAATTGAAACCCCGGCCCCCCAACCCCCGGGGAGGGCCGGGGAATTAACACATTTTAGCCGGGGATTTAACGCTGTTTTAACAGCATCAATCCACGGGGGGCAGGGGAATTAACAGATTTTCAAAATAGCCGGGATTTTACCGGGGACATTAACACTGGCCGGAGACTGGGCCGAGGATCGTGAAAAATGAGTGAGCCTGCCAACAACTTGCACGAACTTTTTTTAAGTTTTTAAAACATGCTTTTGTGTTTTAAAGTAAACAATTAATGAACTTGTTTATTTTTTTACTAATTGTTGGCTTTTTTACTTTTGTTTTTACGCTTATTATACACATGACTTTTTTGTAGGTGCTGTGTGAGTTATTAGGAGTTTCAAAAAAAAAAATAATTCCCATCAGGTCATTAACTATTGATCACGTAAAAGAGGTGTTTGAAATCGCGAGAGAATGTAATATTACATACCAAAAATATGACAAAGAGTGGGAAGAGTATATTGACTTCGAAATGGATCAATTACACCTCCTTACAGATAAAGCCAAATTGAAAATAATTTGGTATCATCTTCAATGCATCCRAGGTTCTAACCCAGATCCACCCAATGGAAATGGTTTTGCCCATCTTGTGCGAAAACATAAATTAACAGTTAATAAAGTTTGTCTTTCTCGAGAATAAATTGTTGATTGGTTATTYCTGTCTCCATGAGGTCATGAATGTCCTAATAGGGCGGGGCTCCCAGGGCCGGGCATTTAACAGCTGTTTCACCCCCGAGGGCTGGGGAAAACACGTTACTTTAACAATTGCCAAATGTTTATTTCCCCGGTCTTTCCCGGGGGTTGGGGGGCCGGGGTTTCAATTGACTGATGCATTAAGTCGGCGATCGTAGAACTTTAAAGCTTCAGATTTTAAAGTTATTCGTGAAGAATGTGTTCGAACAATCCCTACTATCCATGATATTTTTTCCGTTCAAACATTTCATTAGCAATTATTTTGTTTATAAGATCATTTGTTAATGATTACAAATGTTTTAAGAGTAATTCGCCATTTTGGTTACACAGGAATCCCATCTGGAAGTTTATTCAGGGACAGTGGACGAGATGAAATGGTCTAAATTATTATCTCTTGGAAAATCAAAGAAGCAAGCTGGTGAGACTAAAGATGCTAGAAAATACTTTGAAAAGGCCCTGGTGATAGCACAAAAGAATGGCTCTAAAAAGGACGAAGATATCACACTTGAACAACTGGGTGATTTTTGCCGTGATATATTAAATTATCACGAAGCTGTTGAATATTATGAGAAGGGACTAGAAATAGTACAAGAGACTGGTGACAAGAAACTAGAATGTAAGATGTGTTATTGCATTGGGGTTGCTTTGATAAATATCGGAGATTATGAAATGAGTATGAAGTATAACAAACAAGGCTTCAATGTTGCATTAAGAATTGGTGACCCTAGTCTCATAGCAGGGTTCTACGATAGTCTTGGAAATTCTTTCCGTTGCCTGTGTGACTATCCTAATAGTGTTAAGTGCTATAAGAAAGCTACTGCTTTGTTCAAACAACTGAATGACGAACAAGGATTGGGACATTCTTATGGAGGGCTGTCAGCATCATATCGTATACGTATGCAAGGAAAGTACCATGATGCAATTCATTTCGCCGAGGAGAGTATCAAGGTTAATGTTAAAGTAGGAAACAAAAAAAGCGAAGCAAACGATTTAATTGGCTTGGGAGATATGTACAGAACGTTAAATCACTTTGACAAGGTCATCGACTTGTACCAGAAAAGTCTAACCATAAGCAAAGAGATAAATCATAAAGGCATTCAAGCAAGATGTCTTTCAAGTCTTGGAAATATTAAAGCTGATCTAAGCCAATATGAAGAAGCGATTTTGCATCATGAAAAATGTCAGGATATTTTTGTTGAGATTGATGATAAACAAGCTCAAGCAACAACCAGTTATAACATTGGTGATTGCTTAAAGAAATTAAATCAACACAAGGAGGCAATTGAACACTTCAAACAGAGTCTAATCATTGCTACAGAAATAAAAGACAATATTTCTGAGGCACGTGCCTATCTCAATATGTCTGTTTGCTATTTTGAAATGAATAATTTTCAACACGCAATCGACTTGGCAGAAAAAGGACTGGACATTGTTACTACTATCGGCAATAAAGAACTTGAGGGTAAAGCTTGTTGTCATCTAGGTCGAATGTACTATTCATTACCCAAAGAGAACCAAGGACATCAAGCATACAATAATACTGATGATAATATAGCTAAATCAGAACAATACTTGAGAAAAGCACTTGATTGTTTTGACTTTTTCTTTCAACGTCTCCATCAACGGGATCATTTGAAAGTCTCTATTTTTGATAATTTCATTTACGCTTACAAGCTACTCACTATCATTCTAATCGACACAGAGAAAGTACAAGAGGCTCTGTTAGTATCTGATAGTGGACGAGCACGTGCTTTAGGAGATCGCTTGGTCTTCAAATACGGTATGATTCAACAAGAATGTTCATCTAGTAAACCACTAACTTATCCTGATATTAATACAGTTTTGTTGAATGATACCTTTACAATGCTACATTACAACCTTTTTACGAACAGTTTGGCTGTGTGGATTTTAGCCAAAGATTCGATAGTGTTGAAGGAATCAGAAAGACAAGACTTTGATTGTGCCATAGAAGCATTGAATCCAGAAGAGGAAGGAAACGATGAAAACTCCATGAATCGTTTCTTTACTGACACTATTACAAAAGCATATGAAATGATGAAAATCAAAGAAAGCGTCACTTGTGAAAACAGATCACTTGATGATTGCGTTACATCGAAAGATAACGTCACTACTAAAGCTTCTGAATCTCATTCTCGTGATGATGGCGCAAGTGAAGAGAAACTCGATCAAGCGTCTCACCCACTTGAAACGTTGTACAATTGTTTTGTTGCTCCTGTCCTATCAGAAGTACAACACGACGAGATTGTCATAGTACCCGATGGACCAATGTATAGAGTACCGTTTGCTGCCCTCAGGGATCCCAATACAGGACAGTATTTGTCAGACAAAAAACGCATTCGTCTTTCTCCATCAATAGCAGTATTAAAGACCCTAAATGAATGTCCAGTGGATCATCATAGCCAAAAAGGAGCGTTGATTGTAGGAGATCCGATTGTGGGAGAAGTCATGTTTAGAGGCAAGAAACGAGTGTTTAAACGTTTACCTTCAGCAGACAAGGAAGTCACCTTTCTTTCTGCTATTCTTAGACAGTCGACCAAACTGACCGGCGAACAAGCTACCAAAGATACGGTTTTAGAAAAGTTGAAAGAAGGCTCAGCTGTGATTCACATTGCTGCGCACGGGAGCTCTGATAATGGTGAAATAATGCTGGCACCAAATGTCTCGCCAGAAAGACAAGGAATCCCAGAAGAAGATGACTACCTGTTGACGATGAAAGAAGTCCAACAAATAGGAATCAAAGCTCAACTTGTTGTCCTAAGCTGTTGCTACAGTGGCCGTGGTGAGATCAGGGCTGAGGGTATGGTTGGACTAAGTCGTGCTTTCCTTGCGGCCGGTGCTCGTTCTGTCGTAGCGTCATTGTGGGCTATCGACGACAGTGTAACTTTAAGTTTTATGGTCAGTTTTTACAATTATTTGACTCGAGGTGAAAGTGCGAGTGTAAGTCTTCATAAAGCCATGCATGATATTAGAAAAGAAGGCCACAGGGATCCCATGTACTGGGATCCTTTCTTCTTGATCGGCGATGACGTCATTCTCAAACTGTAATAAGAAGAATCAATGAACACTTTCTGAAAATAGTCAAGACAACATTGATTAATTTTTGACAATGAAAATGGATAGATAACGTCGTTGTTAAGTACTGTCTTGGTGTAAATTTCAACAAAAAATACCATGTTTAAATGATTTTGAATTAGTGTTAGTTAAAGATTATGAAAGACTAGAGTACGTTATAGCCAAAAAGGGAAATTAGGAGACACATTTAAAAAATGAGAATTTTAAACATTTATATATGCCACAATACCACGAAATTTTCTGATTTTTTTTAATAAACATTATTTTTTGATGAATTTTTTGCGCCTTTATCATACTTATTAAAAAAATCATACTTTTGCAATTGCCCTAGTTCATTATGACGTCACATCAAAACATTCTATAGTTTAACGCTAAGGATTATGGTTGCCAGAAGGGATCAGAGTGACTGCATATCAAATAAAATGTACATGGGCAATCATTTATACATGATGTATATCAAAACACGATTTATTGAAGTTCTACTTTAGAAGACAATATAAATGGGTCAAAATTTCCACTGTTTTTGAGCATCGTTTTCCAATGTTAACATACTGAGACGTCATAATGAAATAGGTCAATTGTTTTCAAATATTTTTTTCTCTATTCTGTTTTTTCAAGTTCTTTGTGCTGCCACAATGAATATTAAAAATTATAGTAAATCTAAAGAAGCAAAGCTAGTGTGCCCCCTCACTTGACATAAATTTAAATGAAAAGCAAATTATAGTAAATCTAGAGAAGCATACTTATTGTGCCTCTCATTAATTGTAAGTGGTAAAACGTGATGTGTAATGTTTTTGTTGTGTGTGTGTGTATTTGTTTAATTAAACAAAACGTCGGATGTCATAGTTACATGGCGTTAGTCTCTGGTTCACGATATGACATTTTTTTGTATAATTTTTAGTAGTCGCATGCAATCCGTGAAACGAATATATTAATCATACTAAACAGTATGAAACAAAGGAATTAATTAGAATATTTAAGCAACTATTTTGTACTAGTCTAACGGACTTATAGTGCGTTCAATGTTTATGATTTCAACTGCTGGTCTCCTGCTATGCAGCCAATCTTGAAAATGTTGTCCACCTAGAGTAGACATTTGTCCAATTGATACCTGACATATGTAAATATTCACTTTCCGCTCTTGTTAATTGTCTACTGTGTCAGGTGTGTGTTAGTGGATAGCTAACAAGGCATTCATTAGTAAATTATATATTGGACATTTTAATGAGGAAGTGGCTGATCCCATTAAAGAGTGCTCAATACACATAAAGTGTAGAGCTAGTTTTATTAATTTAAATACTGTCTGATGAGTGTGTAGCACGAAACTCGGAGTTACAGCAAAATCTTGCCTCTTTGATATCATATATATATTGGACATTAGAGAATATTCACGTGCAGAAACTGAATACTAGTATGTATCGTCTTACGTTGCAATGGGAGCATTAGAGTGCACGTCACATAAGCATGAAACAATTCTTAATGTGTATTGCTAAATAAGATTTAGTTATCAACTAACTAAGAATTCAACAAAGCATAAACACAATGCCGAACGTGTAATTAGTGGTTTGTTACCATGTGCTTCGTTGCTATCCAATCGCAGTTCGTAGATTTTAATCTGAATTTGTTCGTGGAAAGAGATTTTGATTAAAATTCTCACATTAATGACTTTTTTGATCTTAAAACATTAAATGAACTATTATTTCGAGTCCACGTTAATTCGGTTAGCGTTTTTAAAGAAATCGATAAATTTTTATACAAAGGTCATACTGAAATTCGTGGTGGTGAATGCACTAAGAGATGAAATGAAATGGTCGAAGGCATATTCTATCGGTGAATCAAAACGACAAGCTGGTGAGACTAGAGATGCTAAAAGATACTTTGAAAAGGCCCTGGTGATTGCACAAAGGAATGGCTCTAAAAAGGAACAAGCTATTCTTCGTTTTCACTATACGTCACAGCGGCCATCTTGGTTGAACTTTAACAAAGGATTTCTCTTTAGTATCTATTGTTCATTCCTCCAACATGGCCGCCGGTCTTTTATCTTTTAAATCTCATGGGAATGGTTGAAAACGATCAATAACACTTGAACGACTGGGTTATGTTTACCGTGATATAGAAAATTATCACGAAGCTGTTGATTATTATGACAAGGGACTGGAAATAGTGCAAGAGACTGGTGACAAGAAACTAGAATGTGTCATGTTTTGTGGCATTGGGCATGCTTCTATGAGAATCGGAGATTATTAAAATGGTATGAAGTACAGCAGACAAAGCTTGACTGTTGCATTGAGAATTGGTGACTCTCGTCTCACAGCATATTCTTATGAATGTCTTGGAAATGCTTACCGTTGCCTTTGTGACCATCATAACAGTATTAAATGCCATAAATAAGCTATTGATTTCTTCACAAAACTGAACAATAAAGAAGAATTAGGGACAAATATTTATAAATATTTCAGAATCATATCGCGAGCTAGGGAAGTACCATGATGCAATTCGTTACCACGAGGAGATTCTAACGCTTGAATTAGGAAACAAAAAAAACGAAGCAGTCAATTTATTTCACTTGGGAATTATATACCAAACGCTAAATGACTTTGATAAGGCCATTGAGTTGTACCAGCAAAGTCTTATCATCAGCAAAGAGATCAATCATAAAGGAATTCAAGCAAAATGTCATTGCAATCTGGGAAATGTTATGAGTGATCTAAATAATTATCAAGAAGCAATGTTCCATTACGGAAAATGCTTGAATATTGCTGAACAAATAAATGATAAACAGACTCAAACAACAACCAGTCTTAACATTGGCAATTGCTTAAAGAAATTAAACAGATACAACGAGGCAAATAAATACTACAACCAAAGTCTTGTACTTGCTATGGAAATGAAAAACAAGAATAACGAAGCAAATGTCTATATCAATATGGCTGATAGCTATGTCAAAATGGGTGATTTTCAACACGCAATTGACTTGTCAGAGAAATGTCTGGAAATTGCTTACACTATCAGCAATAAAGACCTCCAGGGTCAAACATGTTATTTTCTTGGCAAAATATACTATTTATTACACAAAGAGAACCAAGGACATCAAGCATGTCAAAATACTGATGATAATATAGCTAAATCAGAAGAATACTTGACGAAAGCACTTGATTGTTTTGACTTTTTGTTTCAACATCTCCAACAACGGGATCACTTTAAAGTCACTATTTTTGATAATTTCATTGCAACCTACAAATTTCTCATGAATCTGCTGATTAAGACAAAGAGACCACAAGAGGCTCTGTTAGTATCTGATGGTGGGCGAGCACGTGCTTTAGGAGATCGCTTGGTCTTCAAATACGGTATGATTCAGCAAGAATGCTCATCACCCAAACCACTAACGTATTCTGATGTTAAAGCCGTTTTGTTGAATGATACCTTTACGATGCTACATTACAGCCTTTTTACCAACAGTTTGGCTGTGTGGATTTTAGCCAAAGATTCAATAGTGTTGAAGGAATCGGAAAAGAAAGAATTTGATTCTGCCATGGAAACATTGCCTACAGAAGAGAAAGGAAAAGATGAAAACTCCATGACTCATTTTTTTACTGATACTATTACAAGAGCATTTGAAATGATGAGAATCGAAGAAAGCGTTACTTGTGAAAACAGGTCACTTGATGATTGCGTTACATCGAAGGATGACGCCACTTCAAAAGCTTCTGAATCTCAGTCACGTGATGATGGCACAAGTGAAGAGAAACTCGATCAAGCGTCACACCCATATGAAAAATTATACAATTGTTTAGTTGCTCCTGTCCTATCAGACGTACGACACGACGAGATTGATATAGTACCGATGGACTAATGTATAGAGTACCGTTTGCTGCCCTCAGGGATCTCAAAACGGGACAGTATCTATCAGATACCAAACGCATTCGTCTTGCTCCATCAATATCAATATTAAAAGCTCTAAAAGAATGTCCAGTGGATCATCACAGCCAAAAAGGAGCATTGATTGTAGGAGATCCGATTGTGGGAGAAGTCATGTTTAGAGGCAAAAAACGCGTGTTTGAACGTTTACCTTCAGCAGACAGGGAAGTCAGTTTTCTTTCTGCTATGCTTAGACAGTCGACCAAACTGACCGCCGAACGAGCTACTAAAGATGCGGTTTTAGAAAAGCTGAAAGAAGGCTCAGCTGTAATTCACATTGCTGCACACGGGAGCTCTGATAATGGTGAAATAATGCTGGCACCAACTGTCTCACCAGAAAGACAAGGTATCCCAGAAGAAGATGACTACCTGTTGACGATGAAAGAAGTCCAACAAATAGGAATCAAAGCTCAACTTGTTGTCCTAAGCTGTTGCTACAGTGGCCGTGGTGAGATTAGGGCTGAGGGCATGGTTGGACTTAGTCGCGCTTTTCTTGCGGCCGGAGCTCGTTCTGTCGTAGCGTCATTGTGGGCAATTGATGACAATGTGACTTTTAGTTTCATGGTGAGTTTTTACAGTTATCTGACTCGAGGTTAAAGTGCGAGTGTAAGTCTTCATAAAGCCATGCATGATATTAGAAAAGAAGGCCACAGGGATCCCAAGTACTGGGCTCCTTTCTTTTTGATTGGTGATGACGTCATTCTCAATTTGAGATAACATGCATCAACTGAAACAGTTACTAAAATATATTACTCAGAAAACAGTCAATATTTTGAACTTGAGATTCAAATAGTCAGATAGAGATGATAACAACATGCAGTTAAATAGAGACATATCGACGATGACAACAATCAGTTAAATGTCGAGAAATACTGAGTCAGGTCACATGATGTTGTTTCTAGAGTAGTTTTGTTACAGTGGACACAAGAAATCCGTGAAACAAATTTATTAATCACAATTTAATAGTGTTGTAAAATAACGACGACGTTTACAATAATCCCCCTTAGAAGGCATTAATTGCATTGCGTGCTGCAGGGGTGTATGCAAGGATTTTTACGACGGAGGTTTCAGCTTTGCTTTACAATTTCAAGACTGTGAAGAGAAGACGATTGACTGCAATAATTTTCGATTGTTTTCGTTTCACAGCGAAAAAACTGTTCAAGTCTATCTAAAAATGTGTTACTCTATTGATTAGGTAAATGAGGTCTTTTATTTCAAAAACTTCAACTGCCGCTATCCCTTTAATCTACTCCTGCACATATCCATTTGAATACCTGTCTAGAACGGCATTGTTTGCATTTGATTCACTACGGAGAATTTTACATTGTAGAATAACGCTAGTGCATGCAGTGGATTAAACATTTTTGTACTTGTATGTTGCAATTAAACGTAAATGCGAACGAGACTTAATAAACATTTGGTATTAAATGGTCACGAGCTTATTTGTCGGATGCGACAAAAACATGCAGTGGATATATCGAGAAATACTGAATCAGGTCACATGAGTTGTTTTTAGAGTAGTTTTGTTACAGTGGCTGCATTAAACACATGTAAGAAATATTGTAATCAATACTTAATAGTCTTGGTTAGAAAAGAGAAAAGAAGGACCCAGTATAAAGATGGACACGAGCCTATTTGTCGGAGGCGACGCTGAAGGGTTCACTTTCGTTAGCTTCTATCAAAATGTGTACCAGGTCTTTGTATATACGTCGAACCCAGGCCAATAGAGCCGAAGTCCAATCAGTGAACCACTAGACTATCACATCTCTCGATATGAGAAAACTTACAGCTCATTTGGATGTTTAAATCAAATGCTGCTTGCAGCGCGAATATGTCAGAATAGACAATATTCAATGTTTGTTGGCTCTCTCTCTCTCTCTCTCTAACCCTCTGAAAGCGTCTCATTGAGTGAAATAAATCTGACTTTGCGTTTGTTAATGGAATTTTGTTCATTTCAATTTTTGCTGTAAAGTATTTGATATATTATCATATTATTTAGTCGGTTATTCAAGTTTTGTAGTTTGAGCAGCAACCTTGCACACTTGAACCTGGTCTTTCCGAAGGGTGACCGCTTAATAGAGGTTGACCGTTTAATAGAGGTTATGTTTTACGGTAACAGTGTAATATAGGAATTGATTGTGGAGAATTGTGACCGGTTAGTAGAGGGTGACAGATAAATAGAAGGCCGTTTAATAGAGGTTCGACTGAATTTGCTTTTGCATATATTAAAACTGAAAAAAAAAATAAAAAAAAGACTTAAGAATAAAGAAGTACACTGTCTTTAATATTGCGACTGATAATGAAATTAAGATTGTTCGCAATTCCGCACTATACATAATAGTTGATTCAAATCTATTCTAAAGTCGGTGTAATATTTTGATACCCTGGTTCCACTGAGAAGCTTGTCTTTTATTCTTTTGCTTACTATGTTGTCGAATCTTTAATCTGTTTTACGGAATCGAAACGTCTTGCTGCTTCGCGTCTCGACAACACAAAAAGCAAAAGAACAAAAAACAAGCCCCTGTAACCAGGGTAATACTTCGGTGATCAAAACATTCATTTCCGGGTTGAGCCTAAACTCAAGGGTACTCGCGTACAGCGGTATTTCAATTCAAGAGAATGTTCTGGAATCTCTCAATATACTGCAAACGTTTTGTTTACCAGATGAAAAATGTAAAGAATCGACTGGTAAAGAACCAGTTATAGGCAAAATGAAGTCGACTTAATGTAATGGTCGAAAAAAGGACATAGTTTTATGCGATCATTGAACAATAAAAATTATTCAGTGGAATAATACTTCGACAGGATGAATTGACAACAGGAAGCACTACAAAGGTAGGGCGCCATTTTGTATTCAGAATGTGTTTGATATCAGCAGATTTACCCTGAACTCGTGTTGATGCTAGTAGCGGATTTATATTATGTATATGTATGGCTAGTGTCGAATCGACGCTGATCGCTCATGCAGAATATTGAAATGAGGTGGTTTTTAAGTCATTCTCGTCTCTCCGATTAACTTCTTGTGAATCGTGGCATTTTGAAAAAGGAGCCATTATTTTGATACTTGGTGCAGCGCACGACGACGATCATGAAAAAAGTGTGGGCTATATATCTATTTTATATATTTTGAACTTTATTGAATTAAAATTGATAAAATACTGAGCCTATACTGGGCCTCACATGCAGCGTTATTCCATGCTGATGACCACTCATTCGGATGCAATGTTGGAAGTAGTAGTGGATGCCCGAACTGATGTCATGTCGACACGACCTGAGTAAGCGCTGTGTGAGCGTCTAGTCAAAAAAGTAGCGATCGCTATAAAAAGACGAAATTTGATTAAATTATTTCCAATGTAAATTTTTACTTAAGCTTTAATTGTAAATTTTTCTGTCCCTTGAAGTTTCTCATCCATGGAAATATAAAACACAAAATAATAAAAAAATACGTCAAATAAAAATATAAATAACAGGAGCAAAAATAATACAATATTAAAGTTCCCACAAAACTGTTGCACAATCGTTAGTCACATATTAATAGTATTTATGTATGTACACTCGGTTGTCTTAGCAACTTGGGAGTTCAAAACATTTATTTCCGGGTTAAGGCTAGTCTCCTGTCGCAGCCGTTAGGACGTTCGTTCCCAGGTCACTCCCCTCCCTAACAGCTGCTTATCTTGGCTAAACATTCCGTTCTCGGGGAATGACCAATCAGAGCGTTGCTTTCCAAAATCTAGAAAGCTCATTATTATTCATGGCAGATAGCTTTCGGAGGGGTTTGTAGATATATTTCTGATTTAAATGAGGAAAAAAGAAAAACTTCTTAAATACACTAACGAATTATGGTAAAAGTCTGATCTATCAACGGTTTTCTCTCCGTGCCTGACTCTTTACGCTGTAACTAAATCGAGTCACATCGTCCTTGTTTTATCGCTTCTACACAGACATTCATCGATGATCGTCAACAAAATGTGAGAGCTTTAGGCCTAGATTGCAAACGGATCGAAAGGACTAGAAGATGAAGAAGTAAAAGAGCGAGAAAGCTACGGAGAAATCTGCAAGAACTAGAATGAGTCTGAATGGGTCTGAATGGGGTTAACTGTTAACTGAGAAACGGCTAAAATATTAACTGTTAACTGAGAATTTCGGGTTTATTTAGCTGATAACTGATATTATTAACGAGATAACTGTTAGCTGATATTCCTTTGCTTGCACATGTTTTGCATGTAGGTGAACCTCGTTCCCAGGGCTTCTCTGTTTCTGTTTTTGTTTTTTTTAAAAACTGGTGGACAGAGATAGCCCTGGCATTGGCCGGTCACGTGACACCAACTCTCAGTGGGTGTTTAGTTTGGAATGCCGCTGAATGCAAGCGCCAAAAATGACACGACCCCGATGACGATTCCTTCGCTTTGTGTAGAGCGGCTCCGTCGGGCTCTCCTGATGTGCTAGCACACTTCTTGCAAACGATCAGTTTTAGCAGTACCAGGGACCGCTCGGAGCAGGGGGAGCTGGGGGGCTAGAGCTTCCCCCGCCCCCCCGATAATATTTCCGACATTTTGAATTTTCTTTAATAAAGAAGCGAAGGCCTCCTTATGAATTCTTTGGGATTTTATTAATACACCTTTTGCTGTTCATTAGATTAAAACGTACACTCATTTGTGCCAAGCGATGCTTCAATAACTTTTATTGTACTTTCTTGAACACCGTAAGCAACATCATTGGCGCGAAACGACTTTCAATAGCGATATTTAAATACGCGCGAGCATTCAACAGTATCAATAGACAATCAACTGAAC